CCCTCTCACCTTGAAATCGTGACCCCTAGTAATTGAGTCCCCCACTCCGGGAAAAAGCTTCTTGCTATCCACCCTGTCTATACCTCTCATGATTTTGTAGACCTCAATCAGGTCCCCCCTCAACCTCCGTCTTTCTAATGTAAATAATCCTAATCTACTCAACCTCTCTTCATAGCTAGCGCCCTCCATACCAGGCGACATCCTGTGAACCTCCTCTGCACTCTCTCCAAATCATCCACATCCTTTTGGTAATGCGGCGACCAGAACTGTACACAGTGTTCCAAATGTGGTCGAACCAAAGTCCTATACAACTGCAACATGACCTGCCAACTCTTGTACTCAATACCCCGTCCGATGAATGAAAGCATGCCATATGCCTTCTTGACCACTCTATCGACCTGCTTTGCCATCTTCAGGGTACAGTGGACCTGAACACCCAGATCTCTCTGTGCATCAATTTTCCCCAGGGCTTTTCCATTTACCACATAGTTCGCTCTTGAATTGGATCTTCCAAAAACTTGTCCTTGTCAACCAAGTTTCCTAAACTGAACTCGTCTGTTTCCTGCCGTAAAGCCAATTTTGTATCCACTTGGCAACTCGCCTTGAATCCCATGTGATCTAACTTTACTAGCCAGTCTACCATGTGGAAGTGTTGTGAGATACTGAAAGATACAATGGTAAAATGTCTGATTTCTTCTGTTATAGTGCAATATCAGAAGTAAACCCCATTGCATGTAATAAGTCTGGGGAAATGTTTTTTTCAGACTCTTCTTTTGTTGTCAATATTTCACCTCTTCCTTTGCTCAATAAAATCTACGTACTCAATTTCTTATGCAGGCGGACCGCAAGTGGCAGTGGAAGTGACAGTGGCAGCAGCTACAGTGGATCAAGCTCTCGTTCGCGGTCACATTCTCGTTCCGCATCTCGGTCAACATCAGCATCTGGTTCTCAATCTGCATCCGGGTCCCACAGGTCAAGGTGATTTAGGGTTTTTATTGTTTTAACTGTATGCCAACTTGTATAAAAGCAATTAATGTTAAACAATGTTCCTGCCACACTCCCCGCCATTGATGGTACATATTCCTGAAGGGTGAGTCAGTAGGACCAGTAGTTTACAGCCTTGTAATTGGCCTTTACCTGTGGATCCAAGAAAAGAAAAACAACCCAAATTCCTGTTACAGATCATTGTCCACGATGGTTTTGTTCACTTGACACCCCATTTATTAAACAATACCAGTATTTGCATGAATTGTGAGTATAGGTAGTTCTGCTATAACGCATGTTTCGTCAATGCAAATAGGCTTGTATGCGATTGATGAATAGCGGATGCTGTTTGGATAACGTAAGCTTTCTGCTGTATAGGTTTATAGTGATTTTCTGTAGCGATTTCCCTACAAGGTAATTTTCTATAGCATGAGATCACACAAGAGCGCAACTATCATGTAATCGGAGAACTACCTGTACAGGAGGGCAGGCACTACTGTGAAGGCATAGTCCAATTGGGAGAAGGATGAGAGAAGTGAAAATAAAATTTCTATACAATATTGCAAACAGAATTGGACAGATTATTGCCAGACAGAGTGACACAATACAATTTTACGTGAATATATAAACGGACATCATTGCCAATATAATTCATTTCCTGTCTTGCAATGGGCAGGTGATTTTCCTCTGCTAGTGTAATTCAAAGTGAAACTGATATACAAATGCAGATAAAAGAGCAAGATCACAGCTGAGACTACCTTGGACTTCCCTTTCCAAATATTTATAACCCTCCTTTATTGAATAAGTGTGTGAAATTGGGAGATTTCCAATCATAGAGTCATACCGATGGAAGCAGACTGTTTGGTCCAACCAGTCCATGCCAACCATAATCCCAAACTAAACTAGTCCCACCTGCCTGCGCTTGGCCCATATCCCTCCAAACATTTCTTATTCATGTACTTATCTACATGTCTTTTAGACAGTGTAACTGTACCCACATCCACCACTTTTGATTTGATTTATTGTAGTCACATGTACCTAAGTACAGTGAAAAACTTTGTTTTGCAAGCAGTACAGGCAGATTGTAGCAAAAAGGACACATACAAATCATGGGGTGCTAAGACAGAGTGAGGCATACAAGGTTACGGCTGCACAGGAGGTGCGCAAAGCAAGATCGACATTACAGGTAGTTCTGCTATAATACGTGTTTCATTAACGTGAATTGGCTGTAATGCAAATGATGAATAGTGGACGTTGTTTGGATAACGTGAACTTTTGCTTTACAGATATAGCAAATTCCCTATAATGTGATTTTCTGTAGCGCAAGGTTATTCAAGAATGCAACTATTGCAATATAGGAGAGCTACCTGTTTTTGAAGTTAGAGAGATCCATTCAGCAGTCTAATAACGGCAGGGAAGAAGCTGTTCTTAAACCTCAGTGCATGTGTTCAAGCTTCAGTATCTTCTGCCTGATGGAAGAGGTTGGAAGAGAGCATGAGTAGGGTGGGAGGGGTCTTTAATGAGGATGGGAGGTTGGTTTCTGTGATGGTCTGGGCTGTGCACATAACTTTCTGGAAGTCTATTCCACACACGAACCACTCTGTGTGGGGGTGGGGGGTGGAAATTGCCCTTCATTTTTTTTAAATGTTTCTCCTCTCACCTTAAAAATATGCCCTTAGTCTTGAAATCCCCCACCCTAGAGAAAGTCACCTGCCAATCATCTTCTATACCTCTCATAATTTCATAAACCTCGATGAGGCCACCTCTCAACCTCCTATGCTTCAATCCAAAAGACCCAGCCTGTCCAGCTCTCCTTATAACTCAACCTCTCCATTCTCGGCAACATCCTGGTAAATCTCTTCTGAATCCTATAAAGGAGATTACAACTGGACACTACTCCAGAAGAGGCCTCAACAACATCCTGTTGAATCCTGTCAGACATTTGCAGGATCAAAAGATTGATGCAAGATTACTACCAATGCATCAACTACCTCTTTAACTTCTTTCTTTAATATTCTTGGATGCAATCCATCAGGTTAAGGAAAGTTACTGACCTTTATTTCTATTAGTTTTCCTAATACTTTTCTCCAGTAATGGTTACTGTATTTATTCCCCTCCCATTTTGCCCCTTGATTGCTTAGCATTTGTGGAATGCTATTGTGTCTTCTATTGTGACGATTGATGTGAAGTGTTTGTTTAACTCCTGTGCTATTTCCTGATTCCCAGTTTTTACTTCTGCAGTCTCATTCTCTAAGATGCCTATGTTCACTTTGACCTCTCTCTTTTGACCTTATAGAGGGTTATAAAATCATGAGGGGCATTGATGAGGTAAATAGCAAATGTATTTTCCCAGGGTGGAGAGTTCAAAACTAGGGGGCATATTTTTTAAAACCAAAAGAATTGCATATGCTGTAAATCAGGAATAAAAACAGAAGTTGCCGAAAAGCTTAGCACGTCTGGCAGCATATGTGAAGAAACATATCAGAGTTAACGTTTCAGATCCGGTGACCCTGTTCTGAGGAAGGGTGACCAGACCCGAAACGTTAACTCTGATTTTTTCTTCACAGCTGCTGCCAGACCTGCTGGCATATTTTTGAAGGTTTGAGGAGAAAGATTTAAAAGGGACCTGATGGGTAACGTTTTCACACAGAGGGTGGTTCCTGTGTGAACACATCCATGAATAGGAAATATTTAGAGTGACATGGGCCAATTGCAGGCAAGTGGGACTAGTTTAGATTGGTAAACTCGGTCGACATGGACGAGTTGAACCAAAGGATCTGTTTCTGCGTTGTATGACTCTATGTCTTTTACTTGCTAGTTTACCCCAGTTTATTTTTTCCTTCTTTATTATTATTTTGGTCGTCTTTTACTTTTTAAAACTTTTCCAATCCTCTAACTTACCACCAATCTTCTTTGAATTTTATTCATGCTCCTTTGGTTAACCATCGCTGGTTCATCCCCTTCCTAGAATCCTTCTTTCTCAGTGGTATAATTTTTGTTGTCAGCCACAGACTGTTTTCTTCAAAGTCTGCCGTTGTTCCTCAGCGATCTTTGCTGCTAAACTCTGCATCTCAGCCCATGTTGTACCTCTCAGAATCAGAATCACAATAGTTAGGGGGCAGAATTTTATAGGTTTCTATAAGATTTCCCCCATCATTCTTCTGAACACCAGTGAATATAATCCTAATCAATTCAACCTCTCCTCATATATCAGTCCCACCATTCCAGGAATCGGTCTGGTAAATCTTCACTGTACTGCATCTCTAGCAAGAACATCCTTCCTCAGATAAGAAGACAAAACTGCATACAATATTCCAGGAAAAACAAAAATAAAATCATAAATTGTTGGGAAAATTCAACAGGTCAGGTGGTATCCGTGGAGAGAAAATAGAGTTAATGTTTTGGGTCCAGTGATCCTCCTTCAGAACAGCACAGTATTTCACATGTGGTCTCATTAAGGCCTCGTATAAAAGCAGCAAGACATCCCTGCTCCTATACTCAAATCCTGTTGTTATGAAGGCCAACATACCATTTGCCTTCTTTGCCATTTGCCACACCTGCATGCTTACTTCCAGCGACTAGTGTAAGAGGGCACCCAGATCTTGTTGCACATTTTCCCCTCTCAATTTGGAGCCATTCAGATAATAATCCACTTTATGTTTTTGCCAGCAAAGCGGATAAGCTCATATTTGGTCACATTATATCACATCTGAGTTGTAATTGCCCACTCACTTGGTTTGTCCAAATCACGCAGAAGCATCTCTGCATTCTCCTCACAGCTCACCCTTCCACCCAGCCTTTAGTCAACTGCAAGTTTGGAGAGATTATATTTAGTTCCCTCATATAAATCATTAATATATATTGTGAATAGCTGGGTTCCTTTTAAAGACATCCGCATAACCCAGTAATCACTGCCATTTAGAAAAAGACCCATTTAATCCTACTCTTTGTTTCCTGACTAACAATCTGTTTTCTATCCATCTCAGTACAATACCACCCAATCCCATGTGCTTTAATTTTAGATGCTAATTTCTTATGTTGGACTTCTACAAAAGCCTTATGAAATAGTAAACTGTTTTTTCTGTTCTTCCTGCCACAGTAGGAAGTTCAAATTTTCCTATGTTGTGCTTCAGCAGCCAAACTTTTGCCCATTCACCTAACTTGTCTATATCCTTTTGCAGACCCTCCAACTCCGTTGGATAACTTCCTTTCGTTCCTATCTTGTTATCATCAGCAAATTTAGCTACTGTGCATTTGGTCCCCTCATCCAAATCAGTAATATAGACTAAATTGTTGAGGACCCAGCACTGATCCCTGCAGCACTCCTTCAGTTTGCCAATCTCAGAAAAGACCCATTTATCCCTACTTTCTGCATACTGTCAGCTAACCAGTCCATGCTGATGTGTTACACCATGTGCTGTTTGCCACGGCATTTAATATGGCTTCCTATTAAATGCCTTTTGGAAATTCAAATATACCATAACATTTTCAGTACGTAAGTGCCAACAAGAGAGAATCTAATCATCACCCCTCGACATTGATTTGCATTAACATCACTGAATCCCCCATTGTCAAGATCCTGGAGGTTACCATTGACCAGAAACAGAATTAACCATATACATAATTTCAACAGGTCCAACAGTATCTGTGGACAGAGAAAAAGAGTTAAGATTTCAAGTTTGGTATGACCGTTTGTTATCTGTTCTGGGACCTCTACTGTTCGTGATATATATAAATGACTTGGGTGAAAATGTAGATGGGTGGGTTAGTAAGTTTGCAGACGATACAAAGATTGGTGGAGTTGTGGATAGTGTAGAAGGTTGTCAAAGGATACAGCAGGATATAGATCAGTTGCAGATATGGACGGAGAAATGGCAGTTGGAGTTTAATCCGAGTATGTGTGAGGTGCTGCACTTCGGGAAATCAGATGTTAAGGAAAAGTATACAGTTAATGGTGGGACCCTGAACAGCATTGATTAAGAGAGAGATCTTGGGTTCAAGCTCTCCGAAAGTTGCCATGCAAGTAGATAGGGTGGTAAAGAAGGCAAATGGCATGCTGGCTTTATTGGTCGGGGAACTGAGTACAATAGTCAGGATGTCATGTTGCAGCTTTATAAGACTTTAGTTAGAGTATTGAGTTCGATTCCGGATGCCACGTTACAGGAAGGATGTGGAGGCTTTGGAGATGTGCAGAAAAGGTTTACCAGGATACTGCCTGAATGAGAGGATATGAGCTATAAGGAGAGGCTAGAAAAACTTGGATTTGTTTTCTCTGGAGCAGCAGAGGCTGAGGGGAGATTTGATAGAAGTTTGTAAAATTATGAGATGCATAGAAAGGGTTGACGGTCAGAATATTTTTCGCAGAGCTGAACTATGTAACACTAGGGGCTGTGCATATAAGGTGAGAGGAGAGTGCTCAAAGGAGATGTGAGGAGCAGGTTTTTCAAACAGAGATTGGTAGGAGTCTGGAATGCACTGCCAGGGGTGGTGGTGGAGATATGATAGGAGCATTTAAGGGACTTTTAGATAGCACGTGAGCATACAAGGAATGGAGGAATATGGACCAAGGGTAGGGAGAAGAGATTAGTTTAATTTGGCATTGTGTTTGACCCAATACCACTGGCCAAAGAGCCCTTTCTTGTGCTGTACAATTGTGTTCCCTGACTGTTCTTACAAAGATGTCAAATGGTCTGCAAATGGTTCAAGTTGGCACTTTACCACCAGGGAAAAGGCAACTAGGGATTGGCAATAAATGCCAGCCAGTGACTCCCACATCCATGAATGAATTTTTAAAAACTCTAATGTTTCCCCTTTCCACTGCACATGTAACATTGTCAACAAAATCTAATAAACTAGCTAAACACTATTTCTCTTTCACAAAGACATGTTGGCTGTGTCTGATCACATTGTGATTTAGAGTCATAGACTAGGACGGCATGGAAACAGACCCTTTGAGTCAACTTGTCCATACCGACCTGCTTCCCAATCAAAACAAGTCCCATTTACCTGCATTTGGCCCATATCCCTGTAAATGTTTTCTATCCGTGTACCTGTCCAAATGTTTTTTTAAATGTTGTAACTTTATCGAATCTCCCACTTCTTACCAGTCATTCAATACATGTACCATGCTCTGTCTGAAAAGGGTGCCCTTCAACGTCCCTCTTAAATCTTTCCCCCTCACCTAAAACCTATGCCCCCTAGTTTTGAATTCCTCTGCCCTAGGAAAAAGACCTTTGCTATTCACCATATCTGTACTGTTAATGATTTTATAAACCTCTATAAGGTCACCCCTCAACCTCCTGCACTTCAGAGAAATAAGTCCCAGCCTGTCCTTATAACTGAAAAATCTCCAGTCCTGGTAGCATTCTTGTCAATCTTTTCTGTACCCTTTCCAATTTAATAATATCCATCCTATAAGAGGGCTACCAAAACTATATGCAGTACTCTTAAAAATGTCCTCATCATTGTCCTATACAGCTGATGTCCCGATTCCTTTACTCAATTCTGTGACCAATGAAGGCAAGTGTGCCAAATGCCTCCTTACTTACTTTCCTAAGTACCCTGCTGTCAGTTCCTTAATAACGGATTCTAATATCTTCCCTATACCAAATGTTGGACTAAATAACCTATAATTTCCTACTTTCTACTTTCCTCTTTGTTTTGGGATTCTCGAAGCTGAGGACTTCTGAAAGAGTATATCAATGCATCTTCCAGTTTTTTTGTTTCATCATCTGTCTTTCAACATGCACAGTACTTTACTTGTTTTCCAGTGTTGATTACATCTTGGATCAGGAACTTGCTAGCAGCATGGTTTTTAATTTCTCCAACTCTGGCACAGAGTATGTCATTTATTTTTGGTGTCTGACCTGAAATGGAAGTGTTTCACGGCATTAATTTTGTTCCAGGTCCCTCAGTGTGAGCAGTGTATCATCTGTGTCAAGTGCATCATCAAGCAGCAGCTCTGTAAGAAGTGCCGACTCTGAGAATATGTATGCAGACTTAGCTAGTCCAGTGTCATCTGCCAGCTCCCGATCACAAGCTCCTGCACAGAAGCAGAAGGAAAAATGTGCGTATTTCCTCTTAAAATATTTATTGAAGTGGATTTTCCTTCTTCAGAGGTGCTATCTGGGCCATCTTTAATTGTAAGCGCTACTGTGTGAACTTGAGCAGTTGGGTTCTCCGAAGCAAAGGGATACCACTGCACCCAGTTTGGTCCAATGCCTACATGCAATAAGACCTCGATTAAGTTGGCTCAGGAATCGGTGATAATTCTGCAATTCACCTCAGCTAGGGGTTTTAATCATAGCCCTGTTGGAAAGGATGTGATTAGGCTCCCTGTTGTCTCTGGACTGGTAGATTAGAAAATATCCAAGGAACACTTGAGTCAAGGATCAGAGTTCAACTAATGGAAAGAGTGCAGAAGAAATTTACAAGGATTTGCCAAGACTGAAGGGACTGAGTTATAGGGAGAGGTTGGACAAGCTAGGACTGTTTTCTTTAGAGTGTAGGAGACTGAGGGGGGATCTTAGAAGTTTATCAGATCATGAGAGGCATGGATCCAGTGAATGCACTCAGTCATTTTTCCAGGGTTGGGGAATTGAGGACTAGAGGGCATCAGTTTAAGGTAAAAGGGGAAAGAATACATGGGAGCCTGAGGGGCAACTTTTCCACACAGAGGGTGGTACGCATATGGAATGAGCTGCCAGCAGAAGTGGTTGAGGCAGGTACATTAACAACATTTAAAGGGCATTTGGACGAATACAAGGATAGGAAAGGTTTAGAAGGATATGGGCTAAGTGCAGGGAAATGGGGTTACCGTGGATGGACATTTTGGTCGGCATGGACCAGTGTGGGCTGAAGGGCCTGTCTCTGTGCTGTAGGACTCTGTGACTGTATGACAGTACCCTGTGAAAATGCATTCATCAAAAGTCCATGGGGAAATGTGTTGGTGGAAGTGGAGAATGACTATCTATTTGACCCTGCAGTTGTCAGATTCTGGTAAAGCAATATAATTAACAGTGCAGATCAAAAGCATTGAATTGCAGAAAGTTAAAGAAATGGATCATTTCCAGATAATGTAGTTCCTATCCAAAATTGCTTCCAAATAATTTTTTAAAATTCCATCATGAGATGTGAACATCGCTGGATAGATTAGCATTTATTGCCAATTCCTGAGTGCCTGGGTGAAAGTGGTGTTGACTGGTCACCTTGAACCACTGCAGTCTTTAAGGCATAGGAAGTTCCATGATTTCAAACTAGCAACAGTGAAGGAGCAACAATATAGTTCCAAGTCAGGATTGTGTGATCACAAAATTGACTGAATAATAAGAAAGAGAGAGTGATGGTCAGTGGATATTTTTCAGTCTGGAGGAGGGTCTGTAATGAGGTTCCCCAGGGGTCAGTATTTGGAGAGAGGAATCCTGTGATCTTGGGTGGATTCAAAGCACGAAGAATAAAACTTGAGTTGGAATTGGTATTTGGACCCTCGTTTTACCTGATATCTATAAATGATCCAGATCTTAGTTTGTAGCAGATAATTTAAAAATTTATTGATGATTCAAACTTTGGAAGCATTTTAAATTTTGCAGAACCTAGTGTAGAACTTCAAAAGGACACAGACAGGTCAATGCAGTGGACAGGTGGAAGATGATCTTCAATGCAGTGAAACAGAGGTGATATATTTAAGCAGGATAGATAAAGGAGAACCAGTAGGTGTAACGTGTTTGAATTTCAAAAAGGTGTTCAATAAGGTACAGCACGTAAGGCTACTTAATAAGATAAGAACCTGTGGTCTTGGGATTGTATATTAGCATGGATAAAGGATTAATTAATGAATAGAAGAGAGCAAGCTGGGATAAGAGCATTTTCAGGTTGACAACCTGTAACTAGTGGAGCACCACAGGGATCAGAGCTGAGACCACAATTATTTGCAATATAACTGACTTTGATGAGGGAAGTGAATGGGCCCTTGCAAAGTTTGCAGATGCCACAACAATGTGTGGGAGGCAAATCGTGAGGGTGACGTAATGTCAACAGAGGGAAGAAGATTGTTTCAGTAAGTGTGCAAAAAAGTGTCCTTCTTTTACAGGTCCCACCTGCCCCAGAAGACATCCCAGTGATTCACATTCCTGAAGCCCTCCCTCCTACACCAGCTCTTTAGCCACACATTTAACTACTATCTTCCTATTCCTAGCCTACTGGCACATAGCACAGGAAGTAATCCCAAAATTACTACCGTTGAAGTTTTCAACTTCCTAACTAACTCCCTTTGCGGGACCTCATCTTTCTTTCTGTCTATGTCATTGGTACCAATATGGACCACAACCTCTGGCTGCCCACCCTCCCACTTCAGAATGTGTCTGCTCAGAGACATCCTTGACTCTGGCACTATGGAGGTAACACATCCTGGAGTCTTGCAGGTAGCCTCAGAAATGCCTATCTGTGCCCCTGAGTGTAGAGTCCTCTCTCACTAATGCTCGCTTACACTTTGACTCTCCCTGCTGTACAACAGTACCAGGTGTGGTGCCACTGATCTGGCTGCAGCTGCTTTCCCTGAGTGGCCACCACTGCACCCCACCAAAACAGTATTTTTTAAAATTCTTTCACAGGATGAGGGCATCGCTGGCTGGGCCAGCATTTATTGCCCATCCCTAATTGCCCAGAGGGCAGTTAAGAATCAACCACATTGCTGTGGGTCTGAAGTCATATGTAGGCCAGACCAGGTAAGGATGGCAGTTTCCCTCCCTAAAAGTCATTAATGAACCAGATGGGTTTTTGTGACAATTGACAATGGATTCACGGTCATCATTAGATTAATTAATTCCAGATATTGATTGAATTCAAATTCCACCGTTTGTCATGGTGGGATTCGAATCTGGGTCTCTGGATTAACTGTCCAGTGATAATACCACTAGGCCATTGCCTCTCAAAATACAAAACAGTATAACTATTTGGGAGAGGAATAGTCACAGGGGATTCCTGCACTGCCTGCCCACGCTTATCAGTCTTCCTGGTGGTCACCCAACTCTACTATATCTGTGATAACAAGGTGTAGAGCTGGATGAACACAGCAGGCCTAGCAGCATCAGAGGAGCAGGAAAGCTGACGTTTCGGGTC